CTCTCCAAAAGAGAACAAAAACAAAAACAAAAAACAAAATAGAGGTTCTAATTTCTGTGTATAAGTCCTAAGTAATTAAGAAATAGAAAAATTGTATGAACTGATTTTCCTCAAGCAGACCTGCCATTCTGTTTTTGAATTCAAAGGAACAGAAGTGATTCTCAATTTAATCATCTACTTTGGTCAAAGGCTCCTTGGTGAGAATAAAAGGAAATAAGCGCATGAACATTGTTCATAAACCAGTGGCTCAGTCTCCATAGAACGAGAGCAACATGCTAGAGATGTTAAAAATAAACAAAAAAAACTTTATAAAATACTAATGATTCCATAATAAAGCACGTGTGCTTGCCAGAGAGAACATGAGAAATCACTCCCAAGGGGAGACGGCCATGCCACACACAATCTCTTCTCTTCCATTCTCCCCTTAAGGTTTTGAGCATGCATGTACACACACCCGGAGTGATTTTCAAGCCACTGCATCCAGGATTCACACAGCAGTCGGCCACATGGGAGTCTAGCACCTCAACCGTTATGTTGCCTGCTGGCCCAATTACAGCAGAATTTATACAGTTCATGAATATGAAAACACTGAAAAGTAAAAGTCATATAGACTATATTTAAAGACAAATTGATGTTATTACATGGCATTGAAAAGTGCAAATAGAGGGGCCAGCAGGTGGCATAGTGGTTAAGGCACTGGACTCCCACATAGCCAACCACAGTTTGAGTCCCAGACCAGCAATTTGAAAACTCACAGCAGGCATGTATGTGGGTTCCCAAAATCCCAAGAGTAAAAGGGACTGTGGCATGGCCAACCCCCCTGGGTGGTGATTTCTCGCTTTTTCTCTTTCTCTCTGGTGAGTGCACATGGCCTATGATAAAAATCTCTCTTAAAAAAGAAAAGAACAATGCTAATAGAATCAAGGTGACAAATGCATTAAAGTCAGTAAAGCAGGGATTCAAGGCATTAATGATCTCAAGAACAGTAAGGATTTCATATAGTTCTACATACTAATTTCAAAATAAATACTGTAAAATTCTTAGAACATTGTATTCATGAAGCCGGGTTATAGTGGGACTTTTGGAGAAATAGTTTGCAATTCTCCAATACTATTAGCTTAATAATTATGACATCAATCACTCATCCACAAGATAAATACAACAAGACACAAAAGTAAGTTGAACAGTATATTAATATTTGTACAAAATTCAAAACTGGTATAAGAATAGTTTAATACACTTACTGCTGATTCAATAAAAAAGCAACTTTTTAGTTTATCATATATGTATGCTCCCTAGGTGACTAGTAAAACTAATTTGTCCCTCCCACTTTTCAGTCCATCTTGGTATTAGCTTGGTACCCTAGGTAGCTACTGTGCCATGGAGCATATCTCTTTCTAGTTCAGCATTTCCAACAGTGTCTTCCATGGAAGAAATATCTCTTGGGAAATATTAATAGGTATAACATAATCAAGCAAATCTGGAAAAAGATGTCTATACCTTAGAATAGAGTCACAATATACATTCATATGTTAGAGTCTAACAACAACAACAAAAGAAGAAGCTTTTTAATTCACTATTCACAATAATCATTTGAGCATGGAAGATTTTTGTCCACCATGTTCCCATTAACTTCTGGCAGAGCACCTTCTAGAGAAGAGCAAAGGCCATGACAAAATTTGACATGTATTAGTAGGATACATTAGTAGGATACTAAAGGAACACAAGGATAAACAAGTTTTTTTTAAAACCCTGAAGACACTTGCTATAGGTTGAACTGTCTCTCACCACTACCACCACCACGAGAAAGTATGCTGAAGTCTAACCAGTATCTCGGAACATGATTTTATTTGAAGATAGGGTCTTTACAGAAGTAATTAAGTTAAAATGAAGTCATGAAGGAGGGCTCTGATCCAATACAACTGATATTCTTATAAAAAAAAAATTTTTAGACAGAGGGAGAGAGATATACATAAGGGGAAGACAGAGAGAATGTCAGTAATAAGCCAAGAAACACCTAAGGCTACCAGAAGCTAGAAGAGAAGAACAGAACAGATCTTCCTCCTCACAGTCCTCAGAAAAAAACAACTCTTTTTTTTTTTTTTTTTGAGAGGTTTTCTCACTATAGGGAGTGTGCGCTCGCCAGACAGAGAGAGACAGAGAGACAGAAAGTGAGAAATCACCCCCCCAGAGGGGATGGCCATGCTGCAATCCCTTCTCCTCCATTCTCCTCTCGGGATCTTGGGCACGCACGCACACATGCCCAGCGTGGGTTTTAAGCCACAGGGTCTGGGATGCGAACCGCAGTTGACTACGTGGGAGTCCAGCGACATAGCCATTACGCTAACTGCTGGTTCCCAATAAACAACTCTTCTGACACCTTGATTTTGGATTTAACCTTTACAACTGAGATAATAAATTTCTGTTGTTCTGAATCACCCACTTTACAGTGCTTAGCTACAACCCTAGGAAACAGACACATTATTCCTTACTACTTACTTAATTTATTCATTTTACCCACATGTGCCTGAGTAATAACAATAATATTAATATTATTATAGCATAGTAAAGGAAAGATTAGAGTTAGAACTTTTATCTTCACTGAATGTGATAGTTATCTTTCTAAAGTTATATTATAAATTTAAAAAGTACTCTGGGATCAATCTCCTTAGAATTCTTTACTATACAGGTTTGTTTATCTACTTCTTTCACTAAATGTTCTAGTTTTAGTACTTTTTCTTTCAACTATGTTACTCCTTTAAAATAAGAAAAAAATGTGCTCCCGTTTTTATTCCTCATCTCACAAATATATAAAAGACATAAATATGAAATTCATGATTATCATCTAGTGACTCAAAATATGGAAAAAATGTTTCTAAAAAACAATTTTATTCTGAAATATTATTTCTATTTGTGTCTATTAGGGTGATTTTGGAAAAAATTAATGCTTTAATCAGTAGACAGTAAAGAAGATTACCCTCCTCAATGTAAATTGATTTAATCTAATCTGCTTAAAGCCTAAACGTGATAAAAGCTAAGAAAGATTTTTTTCCCTTCCTGTCTTCCATCTGATATATCATTCTTGGATTCAGACTCAAGCTTCTTGAATTTACACCATCAGCTCCCAGTTCTTTAAACTGGCTCAGACTAGAATTATCCCATCAACTCTTCTGAATCTCCAGCTTGTCAACTACAGATCTTGGACTGCTCAGCCTCTAAAATCATGTGACCCAATTCCAAATTTCCAAATCTCTATAGTAAATTCCTTATAGTTAAAAAGAAAACAAAAATATATGTGTATGTATGTATATATACACATATACCCACATATATACATACATACATATACACACACAGATATATGTATGTTCTATTTCACTGGAAAACCCAAGCTAATACAGGATGATATCATCAGTAGACAAATTTAAAGAACTGTGAAAAGAGGAACGATGTTAGACTGGTTTCATAAACCTGCTTTTAATATTCTGTACCTACCTCCATGTTGACATTTAGTACACTAGATTATAACTACTCGCACTTCTCATCTTCTTAACTAGAAATGGTCTTGAAGGATAGCAGTTCATTTTGTCTCTTGTTGTACAACAAATGACTAGTACCATGCTTGGCTAACTGCAATGCTCTATAACTTGCTACTGAGTAAACAAATGAACAAAGAACTCGGGTGTTTGTTTATCTAACTTCCTTGTGAACTTAAAGTAGGAGAAATGCTGTATCTGTGTATTTTATTTTCAGTAAAAACAATACATGTTAATTTTCCTCTGGTTTAAAACTAATAGTTTAACTCTGAATAAACATAAGTTAACATGTTTAGTGAAAAGGTAGGTAAAATTATTAACTATAGCTTATGTTTATGATTAACTAAAGCTCTAAGTCATATTTTGTTTAGAACACACATAATCTAAGTCAAACTTTTGCCTCCTTAAGAGTAATATATATATGGGAACAGGCAGGTGGCGTGGTGGCTGAGGCACCAGACTCCCATAGTCGAATGCATTTTGAGTCCCAGACCTGGTGGTTTTCTCTCTCTTTCTCTCTCTCTCTGGTCAAATTAAGATAAATAAATAATAAATAAATAAATAAATAAAGTTAAATTAAAAAAAAAGTTTAAAGAGTAATATATATATATAATATATGTATATATAATATATATATGACAAAGAATCTAAGCTTTAAATATACTAAGTTCTATCATGTGTAAAAAAATTGGACTTGTCATAGAAAATCATAGAACTATTTGAGAATCATTTACATAACTTAGTCTCAATTAGGGCAGGGCATTTGGTAATTGTGAATAAATAAAAATGTTTGCCATATTAAAGTCAGAGAAAAAAATAAAACCCTCAATACAGTCATATAAAACTGGTTCAATATGCATGAATAACTTCCTCTGACAAAAAAAATTCAGAAATATGAATGAGGAAGTATAAACTCTTAAAGAAGGCTGATAAGGTACATGCTTCTTAAATATGGGTAAAGGGCTCATTCAAATACCATATGTGCAAAGAGAAAATCAGCTGAAAGGAAAAAATAATATGTACTCATTTATCATTTTGACTGTAATTTTTATATAAAGAATAATTATGTGAGACTGAAGCTAGATTAATATGGTTTTTAACTAACTTTTATTTTTATGCTTATGATATATAAAGAACAACAAAAAATTATGCTTTCATTTGCTATAGTTCTTCCTTTTTTTGTCTCTGAGAAGCTGTAAGAAATGTATTCCCTATTTTAAGCAAAAATATTCTTGAATAATTTGAAAGTAGTAAATAAATATTTAGTCTTCAAGTAGTAAATATTTTTTATCACTTTATGACCCTCAAAAATCTTAAAAACAAGATCAATGGACTGAATGCTTTTATGCAGGTAATTAAATTCAGAAAAGAAAAATGACAAGCTGTAATTTGTGAAATGTATGTTTACTCTGGTATATTTTTATCTTTGCAAGGTTACTACTAAAGAAGTGATTTAATGTTCACCTTTAGTTGTAGTGCCTTTTCTAAGTTTTCAATCTTCCTCTCAGCTTTTCTCAGCTTCCTTAGTTCCTCTGAGTCTGTGAAAGAGCTCTTTGGGGACAAAGACCTTGAGCGTTTCACAGGTGGTTCCTCGAGAATAAAACAAGGACATGGTTGAACTAGTTGGAACATTGGATTATGAAAGACATGCAAAATTAAAGAACAAGTAATTTTGAATACTAATAATGAATTATAAAAAAAAAAAAAATCCTGCATGGAATACCAGAGAAATAACAAGCGGAATTACCACAGTGCTACCGCTAAAGGTTTCTCTGTGACTCGTTAATGAGAATATTCATTTACATTTACATTGTTTCTTTCAGAATAATGATGTCCCATTAGGGAAGACTAAAGGGTTATAGACTCAGAAATGCAAGAAACCTCATTACAAAGGAGGGGATAGAGGCTGGTCTAATTGCTCTATAAGGGTCCAAGGTTACACTTGATAGGACAACCAGAAACAAGAGGGAAAGGATTTTTTTCCCTTTGAAATAGTTTAACACACTGTGAAGTTGAAGGAACAATATGCTTGAGGAATATAAATACAACAGACAGTAGATCTTATACTATAATGACCATATGGTCATTAACTATAATGTGGCTAACTAGAGACAAGGATGTGTGTTTATATTATGTACAGCTTCATATACCAATCTGGAGAAGGAATATGTGAAAGCATCTATTAAGCTGGGCAACATAAGTGTTCATCCTTACTGTATGTCCTTACAAAAGGAAAGAAAAATTTTTTTTTAAATACCTCTCTTCTTTCTTGACTTTCATTAAAAACAGTGAAACATCAAAGCAGCACATTTCTAAACTCCAGCAATATAGCAAATGACCAAATTAGGCCCTATAATGTTGTATCTCAATTTTTATGAATGGTTTCTTTTATTTAAATTAGACTGAATGCTTGTGAACTACTTCAAATGGCCAGAAATGTATAATGCAGTTATGTTTAACAAACAGATTTCTGAAAATCACTAATAATATTAAAGAGAGTGAATAAGAATACCACAGAAATAATTTTAAAAGCTTATTTCACTAAGATAGTTTGTTCTACTCATAGGAAAAAACTGGAAAGAACCAAAAAAAATTATCTTAACATAATTTCCTACTTATAAAAAAAACATTTCTCTATTGCTGAAGTAACAAGTGTGAGAAAAACTCTTTACTTTTAAAGAAATGTTACCTCAATTTATCTAGAAACAATACATTTACGGTTTTAATATTAGTCAATATTCTATAAGATCTTATATAGCATAATATGAATATGTAATGAATACTAAAAAAGGAAGAGCTGGGAAATTAATAAACAAGAAGCATGCTATGCTAATTTTGCTAATTTTTCTCTCATGCTAACCCTTTAAATCTATGAAAATATATAATATACAATTTAATGTTAATATCCATTTAATATCACTTATTGAGCATGTACTATATTTCAAATATCATATCTAAAGGAAATAGAAGCCTTAGTTATATTATTCTTTTGATTAAAATTAGAATAGTAAACATATGATATACCACTTTAAAATGATATTTTATCAGATAAATATATTAGATAGATGAAGAATACTTATCAAAACTTTTTTACCTAAAATTATTAATTTATGAGCAAACAGGTATATTACTGAAAATATGTTTAGTTCATGAATTTAGGAATATATTATTCCATCTTTGAAAAGGGAAAAGTCTGTATTCCTAAAAGGTATTTTATCAAGCATTTGGCCCATAATACTTTGGAAAAGCCTCTGGATGTATAAGCAGAAAAGTAAATGATGCTGTTCGATTTTTAATTTCATCACCTGCCTTGCCAGTTTCATCCTTAGAAATTCACAAAATGACGAAATGTCCCTACCTTATGTTTTCTTTCAGCACTTGTCATAACGCTCTTCTCGGAAAAACTCATGTTGGTGGTTCTGTTCTGTGACAGTTTTTCATTTGCTATTTTCAGTTTCTCCTGTAAATATTCAATTTCAGACTTCTGTGAGACCATTAATGTTTCTAAACTTGATAAAGATGGTTGTTGAGATAACTAGCAAAGAGAAAAGTACATATGTAAATATGTTCGTATTTCATATTATTTATCAATATATACAAATACTTCTACATATTACATAAACTATAAATATTTAGAGATATAAAATTCATTTTTAACAATAAATGATAAACTAGCATTGTTGTAATAGAATGACTTTTTTCAATAAAATAACCAGGAATCTATGATACTTTTAAGAGTCAACAGTTTATAAGCATTCTCTTTGAAATACATTCATGTGACATATAAACAGCTAATGGTAAGTCCAACATTTGAAAAATAGGAATCACAGGAAATTTAAGCTTATAGGAAACCTGAACATGGAAAATAGAATTCCATAAACTCTAAGTATTACTATCTGCTCTGAATGTATTGGAGATCAAAACTCAGACATGTACACTCTTCCAAATTAACCGCTCTACTTAGAAAATAAGAAATCACTGAATCATAGTGAAAACAAAGTTTTTGTTAATTTACTAGCAAAGAAATGTCGAATCTTATGACTCTAATTATTATCAACATGGATCCAGTAGTACTGCAAATATTTTTATTTAAAGTTATGGAGAGGGACCGGCAGGTGGAGTTGTGGTTAAAAAGTGCTGGATCCTCACATGATAAACTGCAATTTGAGTCTTGGGCCTGGTGGCTTGCTTTCTCACTTTCCCTTTCTTCACATTCTCTGTCTCTGTCTGGGCAAATTAAATAATACTAATAACAAAAAATGAAATTAAATAAAATAATTATTTTTAAAAATAAAAATAAAAAATAAAGTTGAGAGCCCCGTCCATCCTAAACATGTTCCTAAGGACTATGAGAAAAATGCATATGTTTTACTTTACTAAAACAGCATAGGGAAATACCAATTTTGCCTACTTTTTTTTGTGAAGTGGAAGAGATAGGCAAAGTTTCTCTAATTCTAACAATGAAAGGGTCATATCTTATCTATACTATTATACTTTCTTCATTTTAAAACATCTGATTTGCTTGCTAAAATTTATTCCAGCAGACTACTAAATATTCTTCTCAAAGTAATATTTATATTGTACTGCTGTTATACTTAAAATATACTCCATACTCCATTACCTTATGCATTCATCTTCTGTAAGTCTCAACAATTTTGCCCAATTGTTTCCTACCCATTACAATCACTATACAGCTTTACTTAAGTTTTTCCTTCTATTTTATAAACATATGTGTGATGTTTCTAAAGATTTTCTTTGACTGGGTTGCCAAGGTAAGCAATTTTCAAAGCCTACCTGTGTTTGTCCAGGTTTCCTTTAGTAAAGATACAAAGGACATATTAACATCCTGTCATTTAACAAATAAATTTTCAGTTTATTCAGGGTTAAATAAAAAAATAAAGCATAACATAATTTTAGTTTGTTATATCCAATAAGTAATCCTATGTTTTTAATAAATGAATTTTCTAAGTCATCACTGGATTATAATGCTATAATTAAGAATATTTTAAAAATTACTATTCAGTCAAGAAGCTGTAAGTATAACTTAAATACTCATGATTATATTAAAAATGCTCCAACAGTGGATATTGTCACTATTAATAATGATGAACTTATTTCCAATAGTATTTCTATTAATATTGTTAACATTAATGATGTTAACACCACCTGCTGGCTTGGTGGTTAAGGGCACTGGACCCCACATGGCCAACCACAGTTGAAGTCCTGGTCCTGGAGGCTTGCTTTCTCAGTTTCCCTCTCTCTCTATTACACTCCGTCCCTCTCTGGTCAAATTAAAATAAAGTGAAGTAAAATAATTCTGCAAAAAACATTAATGATGTTTACATTATTTACAACAATAAAGAATATTTAGGGGACCAGCAGATGGCATAATAGTTACGTCACTGAACTTCCAAGTAGTCAACAGTGGTTCAAGTCCCAGACTGGTAGCTTAAAACTCATGTCAGGTGCATGTGTGTATGTGCCCAAGATCCCAAGAGAAGAATGGAAGAGAAGAAACTGTAGCATGGCCATCCCCTGGAGGGGGGAGGGGGTGATTTCTTGTTTTCTGCCTGTCTATCTCTGTCTTTCTGGTGAGCACACATGCCCTAAAGAGAAAATCTCTCTAAAAAATAAATAAATAAATAAATAAATAAAAAGAATATTTAGGCAGGATTCCCTCAAGATTCTTTAATAAACAATAATAGCACTTCAAAATTAAAATGTTATAAAAATAGTGATAACTCGAATTCCCATGGGAGCCAGGAAGATTATTTAAGTAAGTAAAATGTGCTGTTTTTTAGTTTGTCTTAAAAGGACACAACTTTAGAATTAATTCAGCAAAGACACTTTGTATACCTAGTAAACCTATATTCTTCACTTCTACAAAGTAGTGGAAAGTTATATATATTCCCTTTAAATCTAGTTTTCTCTCTTTTGCCTTTTATGACTTGCAAAAAAATTTCACAAAAGTACTTTACATTTCTTTTGAAACAACTATCTTTTTAAAGTACTATATAAGCAATATGAAGCATTTACTCTCAATTTACTGTTGAGAAGTAAGGAGGGATTTGGGGCAGCTGCTACTTACTTGACTCTAGCCAATTATTTCATAAAGGAATGTGACCCACATTGCTAAATCTACTGGTTTTTCAAGAGAAGTAAGGAATTGGGATATTTAACGATTTTTTTTTTTTTTTAAAGAGGATTTTGCCTTATGGTATGCATTCACTGGGGAGAGAGAGTGAGAGACAGAAACAGTGAAAGGGAACATGGGAAATCATTCCCTGGGGGGATGGCCACGCTGCAATCCTTCTCCATTCTCCTCCTGGGATCATACATGCACACACTCCCACCATAAATTTGAATCTATGGTGTGCAGGACGTGAACCACGGTCACCCATGTGGAAGCCTAGCAACATAACAGAATTCTAGACATCTGCTGGTCCTAGGATATCTAACTTCTTTTTTTTTTAAAAAATAACTATTTTATCCAATTTTCTTCATTTTCTTTATTCATTTATTCATTTATTTACTTACTTACTTGTTTTTGACCAGAGAGGGACAGAGTGAGAGAGAGAGAAAAAGAGAGGGAAAGTGAGAAAGCAAGCTGCCAGGTTTGGGACTCGAACCATGGTCTGCCATGTGGGAGTCCAGCGCCCTTAACTACTACCCCAAGGCTAACTTCTAAGGGAAGTTTCCAAATTTTAAAATGTTGGTTGGACCCAGTATATGACTTCTGTGCTTTGAAAACATGGTGATAGGAGCATTAGCTGCTACCAATTTTCCAAGGAAATTTTGAAATATGTACTAAAGTCCATAAGAATATACCGTGCCTTTGACCTGGCATACTAATTATATTGAGGGCTGATAAAGAAAGATATCCATGATAAACTGAGAAAAGCAGGGTACAAATAATTATATTGTACTATGTAAAAGTGGATTTCACTAAACATGCATACAGAATAAAAATGTGAAATGTTACAGTGCTATTTCTAAGGGGAAAGATTGTATCTAAATTATCAGGTCATTGGGAAAGTCATGATGCATTTTTCTTTGTTTTTCTACGCAAAAATGCATTATGACTTTCTCAGTGACCCAATATTTTTCTTCATACTTACCTGAATTTTCTTAAATTTTTTATAATAAATATGTCACTAGATTTTCAAAATACAAATATTTACTTTTCTGCAAATAAAATTAACAAAAGCCCAATGTAAATTTTCAGTATAAGTTGGAAAAATATAAATGAGTCTCTTCATAATCTTGACCTTCAGAGTTCTTACTGATGTTTGTTATATATATCACAGACTTAAAATTTTTTCAAATGAAAACCGTTATAATTTGGTCCTTCAACTTATGTTTAAAAAATTAATAGATTTTGGGACCAGCAGATGGTATAATGGTTACGTTGCTGGACTCCCACATAGTCAACCATGGTTTGAGTCCTGGATTTGGCGGCTAAAATTCACACAGGGTGTATGTGCGTGTATGTCCAAGATCCTGAGAGGAGAATGGAGAAAGGACTGTAGCATGACCATCCCCCCTGAGGGGTGATTTCTTGTTTTCTGTCTCTGTCTCTCTAGCGAGCACAAGCACCCTACAGCAAAAATCTCTCATAAAAAAATTAACAGACTTTGTTTTTAAGCAGTTTTATATATACAGAAAAATGAGCTACAGAGAATTCACCTACCTCCATCTCCCTTTGTTATGATTCATGAACCAATAATCATGCCATATTATTAACTAAGTTAACAATTTACTCAGATTTCCTTAGTTTTTATCCAGTATCCGTTTTCTGTTTTAGGATCAAATCTAGGATAATATATAACATTGTCTTGTCCTATGTCCTTGAACTCCTATTGTCTGAGACAGTTTTTCAAACTTTCCTTGTTTTTGATGACCTTTAAAATGTTTGTAAAAAGCCCCTCTTCTGAAATCTGCCTGATGTTTTTCTTATGATTATATTGGGGTTAGGAATTTTGGAGCGAAGAACACACAGATAAAGTGCCATTTTCGTCACACTACATCAAGGCTACATACTATCAACTTCATTTATTCCT